GCGTCAGAACGCCTCCGACAGAACAAAATGATCGAAAACGACCGAACTTCAGTTTTAAGATTTGTTTATTTGAGGGCCCGCGTCGCTTCGGGCCGAATATGATAATCAAATCATCAAAAATGCAAGAATTTATTTTAACCGCTTTTTCAAAGGGGCGAAACGAATGGATTAGATTTTAATAATTAGCAATAATCCTACGCCGATTATGAACGGAAACACGCTCCCCTTTGAAAATTAAGTCGGTTCGTAACATATTTTCCGATCATTCTATATTTACAATCTTTACATTAGAATTTAATTGTCCATTGTTCAATGCGATTCGCGTGTCGACTCCTAAATGATTACGGCCCTAATTCCGTCCGACGACGTTTACGATCCGGCCAATTCGTGCAGTTATCTGCCGTGAATAATTACAGTTTAACGGCGTTTTAACAGAGCCCTGGGATGTCGACATCGAAGAAAACATAATTAAAAACTTTGCAGATAAACAGGGTGTCTCGTAAATTATGAACCCTCCGGATGCAAGCCGAGAATGGGGTGAATAAAGCGCATAGTGACATTCTGGTATGATTTTCCTTGGGCCGTTGGTATCCAGGTGGACCAGATTTTTTTATTAACCTGAGGTCCTAAGATCCGATCTGCTTGACAAATGGGCTGGAATATTCGTTAAGAAACAATGCTGGAAAGAGCGGACCGCAGGGATTGCCGTCCTTTCCTGGATTTTCACGACCTTCACGGCCTCCCACAATCGATATCCGCTTTTCAAGGTCCTATTATCAGACAGAACGAATTTTCCGAAATTTCCCAAACCATTTTGTTTAAAACTCCTTGAAACAATAATTAACGATTATCTTCATGTCTTCCCTGGACTCAGATAAAAAACATCTCCCATGAATATCAACAAAAAAATCAACCGTCTAAAAATACTAAAATCACAAAAAACTTGTAATCAACAAAGATAATATGTGGATAAACCATCTAATTTAAAAAACAAAGCATCACGTTTTTAACAATGATAATATTTATCATATCGATGATAGAATATTGACCTCTTTAAAAAAATTAACCTTCTAGGCAGAGTCTGACAGATAAACAATAAACGAGTTAAATAACAACTTTATTTTTGAGTTTTCGAAACAGCATATTTTCCATCTGGTCCGGGGGTGAAAACGAAATCTAGATTTGAAGTAAGATCTGATAATTTTGCTTTCGGACTGAGAAAGATATTAGAAGGAATTTCACAATTTTTCTGGAGAACGTTCCAATAATAATATTCGAAAGTCGAAATGAAACAGGCGAGAAGTGGGACAGGAAATTAATCCAAAATCGACGGTCTGAAATATGGAAATTTCAACTTTCCACTGCTGGGGGGGTTTTTCCAGAGAATTGATCATAAAATTTCATTAGCCATTGAGTGAAATCATTTCGTAACGATTTGATCATTTTTATAATAAAAAAAAAACAACGTTATAAACACTGTAAACATGTTAAATGTTAGATAAATATATAAAAAAGAAATAATTTACGAGACTTTAACGTTAGTTTGGTCTTTGTTAATAGGTCAACAGCCGGCTGAAGGTTTGTTTGATTAACTGACATTGTTTTGAAATTTTACAAATACAGAAATATTTTTGTAAAGAGAATACCTTTAAAATTCTTCTGATGACAGAATAAAAAATGCATTTATTCGAATATAACTGGGAAAATAATTAATAAAATAAAAATACAAAATTGTATAAAATAGATTATTTGGTCAAAGGCTAAGGGTAATTTTGAAAAATGGACCAGCAATTTTGAAATTAAGATAAAAAGTTAGAAAAACAATATTGCAATTCATAGTTTAATAATCGCATGGAAATTGATAAAATAAAAAAAAATAAAAAATCGTGAAGAAGAAATAGTAAAAAAGTAACGTCGTGTATGTAAAAATAGATTTTCGTGATATTTTCAAGTATTTTTTGTTTTTATTTCACCCAGAAATTATATAGTGATCATTTAAAAAATCACCCAAAAATCATTCTAGATAATTAAATTTAAAGAAAACATAAATTATATAAAGGAAAACATGCAAAAATACATTTTTTACTGATATTGTAACGTGTTTTATGAAATAAAGACAGAATTTTTTATTGATGTTGTATGTTTTGGATAAAAAACCGCTAATTTTCTTGTATTATTGTGGACATTGGATTTCCCTCAAAGGGAGAAATTGAAATTCATGTAATTTTTCATAATTCATAAATGAATTATTTAATAATTATATTAAAAAATATCTATGTAATTTCAAGTTCTTTTGATATATAACTAGTACCTTTTTTATCGTTATTTTTTGTAACTAACTTGTAACTAGACTGTATCATGGAAAGAAAAACATTGGAGAAGTTCAAATTCTTGGAATTTTTTGAAATAAACTAATTATTTCCACGCACTTTCTTGATAAAAAAAAATTGCAACTCGTTTAATCGTATTATTCCTTATAATAGTAAAATACAGACAAAGTGGCCTCTTGGTTGCAAAAACCTTTTACAATTTAATTATTTTGGTTATTAGATTTCTTCTGGATGGGAGAAAAAATAGAAATATTTTTATAAATTGTATTTTCTTGATGTTTTCACGTATTATTGATGTAAAATCTTCTACTGGTAGATTTTTCTGAAATCGAAAAAGTGAATATATTTTGTACTAAATCGTGCCTAAATTTTTTCTCTCTTGCTATTTTCAAGGGTTTGTAATATATATTTTTTGTTTTATTGACATGTTCCGATATAAACAACAGAAAAACCAAAAATGGAAAAGTATAATTATTATTACGATTATTAGATTTCCTAAATTGGAAAAATTGTAACCCTTCGGGTTTTTGTACCACATCAAATAAATAGTAGAATAAAAATAAATTTACTAATATTTTCAACTATTTTATACATAAAACCTGCAACTTTGATATAAAATTGAAATTTTACAAAATCAAACTTTACCAAATTAGGAAAGAATTATCGGCAAAAGCCTGGAAATTTCAATTATTTGAGTTTTTCAAATCATTCTGAATTGAAAAAAAATATTAATAACTAATGAATTAGGAATGAAAATGGTATCGTGGTTTTTTCCTAAGGTGGACTTTTATAATAAATCATCCATTTTTTAATGCGAAAACAAAATATTTGTTTGTTATTATTCCTTTACTTTTCGCAATAGTAAAAATTCAAACTTTTGAAGTTTTCGTAAAAAAATTATAGCTAAATCGTACAATAAGTTAATTAAAATCACGTTTTCATGATATTCTCAAGGTTTTTATAAGAAAACGCAACTTTTTAACTTGGTATTATAAATATTTATTTATATTTTTCGTTAATAGGAAAAAATGAAGTTTTCGTAACAAATTGTAGACAAATCATATAGAAAATATTTTTTCCTTGATATTTTCAAGGTTTTATAATAAAAAAAGAAACTTTTTAACTTGGTTTAATCTTTTATAAATAATAGAATTACCCCGCCAAAAAATGATATTGTCAATGTTAAAGCGTTTTATTATTATAACAACTTATCGGATTTTTACGTAGGTAAAAATTGAGATTTTGTTGTTTTTGTAACCAACCATAGATAAATTATACAATAAACATATAAAAAAGATTTTTGTTGATATTTTCACCTTTTTATATATAAAAATTATAACTTTTCAGCATGGATGGAAAAACTTGTACATCTTTGGTTCTCATGTGATTATGAATTTTTTTTTCATATTTTAATAGTAAGTGTTTGTATTGTTTTTGATATAAAAACTCTATTTTTCATTGATATTAATAGTTATATGAAATGAAATCTGGACAATTTATTACGGATGGAAAAATCGACATAAAAGCTTTCGAAAATCTGCCCTCTTTTTACAGAATCAAAGTTGGAGCAGCGTCAAATGTTATCTCGTTCCTGTAAACATTTGTTTAAAGTTTCTAAAAAACTAAAATATAATGTATTATATGTAGGCAATTTTGTCTGTTGATAAACCGGCTGGGCAGAACTTGCCCACTTGTTTATCTTGCGAACAGGGCGGAACTAAACGGCCCGATAAATCAAAACGGTACGCTGATTGAATTTAACGTCAAAAGGGTTGTGGGTGGGAAATTTAGCCAATGTCCGGATGTTTAAATAAGCGAAATCTACCCTTTTGAAACGGGGCGGAAACCGAGGATTCATTAAGTTGAAAAGCGAAAAAAATTAATATTTTAATATTAAATATTTTAGAATTTATTATTGGGGAGGTAAAAATATAAAAAAATTCTATATGACAGCTCGGGAAGAATATATTTGATCGTTTTTAAATATTTATGGTTTTATTCGGAGATCGTGAGATGCGGTCTGGTGTGACGCAGGTTTTAGAAAAACATTTTCTTTATCGTGCCAACGTTTCGATCTTTAATGAGATCATCTTCAGGGCCTGGGAACATGTTTTGTTGTTTAAATTTTACAAATACATGTAGGACGGGAAAAAAATGTAAAATTTAAACTAAGTCTATAAATCCCAGGCCCTGAAGATGATCTCAATAAAGATCGAAACGTTGGCACGAGAAAGAAAATGTTTTTCTAAAACCTACGTCACACAGACCCCATCTCACGATCTCCGATAGTCACTATACACCACACATTTATGCTTTTATTTTTGTCGGATTATTATTTTATTTGTTTATTTTTTAGAAAAGATGGAACAATGCGACACACATACCGGCAAATGGCAGACATTGGATCGCAGAAGCCAATCGCAAAAAGGGAAAAAATATAAAACCACAGTCCAAGTTGGAAGGAAAACAAGGTCCTCCAGAAAGGAGTATTTCATAATTATGGCCAGACAGTGTAACATTAATGGAAATTCATTTTAAAAAAAACATTATGTATTGTTTATTTCTTAATATGAGATTGCAGGTGATGGAATCGCGCGTTTTTCATTGAACCGTAGCATAAGGGGTTTTTATTTTATGTTGTATTTTTATAGAAAAAATAAGAAAACTCACCCGTTGGATGCATCGCGCCCTGCACTGGGCAACCCTCAGAGGGGATCCTATCTCTTCTTCGGTGATGCCGCTGTGGATGAACAGGACACAGACTAGAATCAAAATCGCCGGCATTTCTTCATAAGTTCTCATTTTTAACCCCACAGGAACGAACGGCTCAAAAACAAAAACGAACAAAAAAAAAAAATCACAAATAAAAAATGGGGTTAAACAAGTCAACTTTTGAGTTATTCCGAGTTCATTTTAGCTCAAATTGTAAAGTGCGCGGAACTTTGGCATTAATCTCCTTGTTGATTAAATAAAAAGCGCGGAACAAAAAAAACCAATCCTCCAAAATAAAAGCAAAAATTAAAATAAAAAAAATTTACGAAACACAAGACACTTGTTTTGTTATGGGGTAAAAATTTCACAATCGTATCCACAAAAGATCCTCGGTGATGTCGGTGACCGTATCGCTTGCGGCCTTGTCGCTTCGGTAGCCGGTACGAGACTGGATCGTAGTGCGACTCGCTTTTCGAGCCCCCTCCTCAACGATTTCTACCTTGTTTCATTGGAATCCCGCCTGGTATCAGCACCACCAAGGGCCGAAGACGCCCCTCTTCGACCCCTGGAAGGGGATCTCGACGCCGTGACAACGATGTTTATTCTCTCTTAGGCCGTTGATGGAGGCCGAGGTCGCCTCCGCGACAACATTTCTCGATCTTTCCGAAATTATTCCGATCTAAAAAAAATCCAGGAATTCCAATAAAAACCCAAATACCATAACTTAAACTGGTAAATGATTATTCGGAGATCGTGAGATGCGGTCTGGTGAGACGTAGGTTTTAGAAAAACATTTTCTTTATCGTGCCAACGTTTCGATCTTTATTGAGATCATCTTCAGGGCCACAGATTTATAAACATTGTTTGAATTAAACAAACACGTGTAGGATGTGGAAAAAATTATGAATTTATAAAATGTTAGAAAATTTTAGATTTAAACAAAAAAAAATTGAGTTTATACAATGCTAGATATTTTGAATTAAAACAGAATGAATTTATACAATGCTAGAAAATTTTATATAAAAAAATGAATTTGTACAATGCTAGAAAATTTTGGATTAAAATAATTGAATTTATACAATTTTAGAAAATTTTAGATTGAAAAAAAGAATGAATTTATACAATGCTAGAAAATTTTTGATAAAAAAAAATGAATTTGTACAATGCTAGATAATTTTGGATTAAAACAATTGAATTTATACAAAAAAAACCTTAATTAATTGTAAAGTATTAATTGGTCAAGCGGACCACGAAATTAGTGAATTTATTGAAAAAATAATGAATTTATACAATGCAACACAATTTTAGATTTTAAAAAAATTTATACAATGCTACAAAATTTTAGATTCAATCAAAGTATTCATACTCACCCAAAGTGTTTGTTTTCCGTGTAGATGTTATTCTTGTGTGTCGCGTTGAGTGTGCTAATGAGCTATTGCTGTTTTATGTTTCTAAAAAGTTACGTTTGTTTTGTTCTGTGTGTAATATTTTTAGATTGATGAAGTCGAAATTGTGTTAGTGTTCAAAATGGTGGTTAGCGAGTGCTGTTTGGGTTTTTCGCAATGATATATATGTTGCCTTATTCTCTTATTCAGATATTGGGATGTAATACCGATGTAAGTTGCCGGACAGTTTAAACAATTGATTTTGTAAATTACGTCAGATTTATTTGTTACTGGATGTGGGATCTTTAATTTTGGAAAAAAGTGTGTGAATTGTTTTATAATTTTTGAAAGCTATTTTGAAGTTATTGGACGAGAGAAATGTGTTTAATTTATGTAATAGGCCTTGAATAAATGGCATGGAAATGTATGTTGGTTTTTCCGTATTTGATAGATTTGCTGTAGTATTATTAGTAATAGTGGATGGTGTTAATGTTAAGTTGTAGTTGTTGAAACTAGACACAACACATTTAAACTAGTAACAATCACGGGTAAGCGCCGAAGATTGGCCAGTTTTCCTTACAAAAATCACACCATGTATCCGGACCGAACACATTGATAAATGTCTAACACAGGCCTATAAGTCATCCAGATTCCTACGGTAAAAAGAACTTGCGCTTCATGGAAACTTATTCAATATGTCTGAGAATGCTAGAATTTCCTCTGTCCCGTTTGCTTGCAGGATTTTTAAAATTAGATGTGAATTTTATTGCTTCCTCCATACACTGACAGGCAAAAAATTTCGCCCACTTGTAATATAACTTTATATATTTTTATATATTAATGAAAGTTTCACGTTTTTTAACGTTTAATAAGTGAGCCTTTGTCTACAAAAGTAAAAAAATGTAAATTGCTAAGGAAAATTAAAAATGTAAAAAAAATAATTAATAAAATTGAAAAGAAGAAGGACAGAAATTTGTTTTATGAAAATTGAACTCTTAAGAGCAATTTTTTTTTTCTTGCGCAATCCATATGGTATTGTTACCTGGGGAGGTTTTAACAAAAGCTACACTAAGCCGGAAATATAATAGGAAAAAATTATACAGTGAATTTATGTTGTTTTGTACTTAGTTATAAAAATAATCTTGTAACTACATTAATAACAACTAGTTACATCAGTTATCATTTGCATTAACTGTTCGACCAAAACTTAAGATTTTCATATTTGGAAAAAAGTTGAAAAAAAAATGGTCGAACTGACAACATTTGACAGTTGTTTACGTTAGGTAGTGTTATGATTTCATTGGGTTACGTTAGGTTAGTGTTTGGATTGAGTTAGGGTAAAAGTCTGTACTTTAAATGTTATTCCTGTCTTCTTGATTACTTACATTGTATATTTGATCAAAAATTTAGATTTACAAGCTTAGAAAGAAATTAGAAAAAATTATAGAATCTGACTAATTTGGTAGTGGTTAGGTTAAGTAAGGTTAGGGTTTGGTTAAGGTTATGTTACTAAAAGGTTTAGTTAGAAAAAAGTTCGTATTTTTTTAATTATTAGTCCGGTTTTAGTTATTACCTATATTATCTATTTGACCACAGCTTTAGATTATCATGTTTAGAAAGAAATAAGAAAGGAAGATCGATTCTGACAAAATTTGACCTTCGTTTAGGTTAGGTAGGGATAGGGTTTGTTTAGAGTTACGTTTCGTTAGTATTGCCGATGATTCCCTACATTGACTATTTGAGCCAAGCTGTAAATTTCTTTTTTTAGAGAGAAATAAAAAAAAAAACAGATCGAATCTTATTAATTTGATCGTTTTTTAGGTAAGGTTATGTTATTGTAAATGTTCGGTTAGGGGTCAAGATTTGCATTCGTTTAAGGTAAAAATTAAAGTTTGTCTTGAACTTAGAGAAGATTTGAAATTTGAAAAAAATAAATCTGACTACATTTGATAGTGGTTTAAAGCAATTGTACGTAATACTTTTTTTCTATTTGTCTATTTATATTTTCTTGTTGAATCAATTCATTTACTGATTTTTATCTCTCTGTGCTTTTTTAAAATTTTATTAATTAAGCATCTCATTATTACAGTTTCTCTAAAATTTTCTTTATTTTTTATATTGGTTTTTTTCTGTTAAATAGGAAAAAGGATATAAATTTATGAAATTCCTCGTCTTCAAGTAGTTCATCTCTGTGCTGTTGCCACTTTACATTGAACACTAATGTTGGGCACTCTCAACACGACAACCAAGAATGACCATCTACACGGAAAACAAACACTTTGAGCCCTGAAGATGATCTCAATAAAGATCGAAACGTTGGCACGACAAAGAAAATGTTTTTCTAAAACCTACGTCACAAAGACCGCATCTCACGACTTCAATATAATCATCAATTAACGGTCACTAAACTCCACATACTCAACACTAAATTCACTTTAGAGTTATCACAATGATTTTGATATAAAAACATATTTACAGCTTAATAAAGCCGAACAGGTGTCTTAATCGAGGTCGCATTATTCAAAGATTATTAAAATTCAACTGGTGACGAGATTACGGTGATACTGCACTTCTGAATTAAACGTTTGACCATTGGCTGCGTACCAAATTTGCTATATTGTCTGTTAATCACGGTTGTAATTTTAAGACCAGTTGCGATAACAGATGCCATATTTATAATTGTTCGTGTATTGAACTGAATAAACATTTGTATGGTAGAAATTGACCTGAATTGTGCTCATTCCTTCCGCGGTCAGGTCAATTTTCGGAATTGGCCCGACCTTATAACAATTTTCCGTGCGTCACCTGCGAAGTCCCGAATAAATATTCCAGGCGAGCATTGAGAAACACCCTCGGCTTACCTGAGGTCTTTATAAAGAGTCTTTTCATCCCGCTAAGGATGTCATTTTTCAGCAGGGTCTAGATTTCTGACTGACGCATCGGACCTTCGACCGACGGTGCGGCCCTGTTTGTTGAGAATTAGCCACAAACGAACGGGCGACAATGAAAGTTTTTTCCCCGGGACCGAATGGGCTTTTGCACCGCATTGAAATAGGACTGGGGCTTTTTTGAATGAAACTCACGGACAATGGACGGTCGGGCCCATTCACGGCTTTTCAGAGTCCGTAGCTAAACAACTTTCCGGCCGAACCGTTTAGCGGGATATACGATCCACGGCACCGGGGACAAGCAGTCTCGGAATCGGCCTGAGACCCTCCGGAGAATTTACGGACCGGCTATAATTGTGAACGGGCTGCGTACCCGCAAACAACGATTTTAGAAAGGTTGGCCATTTTAAAATCTCAATAAATCAACTCTAGAAGGGCACAGAAAATATGGTCTATCGAATTATCTGTAACTGGCCTGTCACAGACATCGTTCCACTTACTTATTGTGAAATTTTCTTTTTGGGTCTGCCGGGTGATGAACATGTAGTTTGGTCATTTTGTATTCAATATATCATAGCTCTTTTCGTGGCTCTCCAGTAGCGCGAGATAAAACGATAGACATTCACTGAACTGCGGATCTACATCAGTAGATGATGGGTCTGGGAGTCGGTGAACTCGTGCTGAATAGGGTCCTTCTAAACTCGGGAGTTTGTTGAATTATTCAAAAGCGTTTCGGTATTGCGCCATCTTCAGTGAGGAACCTCATCAGTGCTCAAACGCATTTGAGTAATTCAACAAATCCCGAGTGGAGAGGGCCCAACTAAGTGACCCTATGCCGGTTTAGCATGAAAAAAGCGAGGCTATCTAGAGGACTAAGATGAACGGTAAATTGTCGTCCTTTTATCACTTTAAAGATAGTCTAGACTTTACGCATATTAGTGATAATAGTTAATATTTTTAGTTTTCTACGGTGGAAACCAGGTTTTTCACACTCTGATATAAAAGTTCAACGTTTTTACTGAGGTGATCCTTCAATTTTATTTGTTTAAAGCCGTTAGGAGCTGCTGTTATCCCCGGAGGTTGATAATAGGTGAGTCTTATCCTAGAAATTTTTATAAGAATCACCATACTCGTTATTTTTCCCTCCCATTTATAAAGCGTCTCATAGCTGTTATAAAACGTTATCA